ATACCGCCTGGAGTCTATACTTCATTCCTTTAGACTCTCCGAGACGTATGGTTCATTCGATACCACCTGGAGTCTATGTTTTACTCACTTTTAGCCAGCAACGTTACTGCTGAAGTAAAATAGTATTTTCCCTATTACTTTTGCTTGTGATCTTCTCACATTTTTCTTAAAGTATAAACTATATTTTGATAATAATAGTTACCTTTGGGGAAATTACTCCTTAACCATAAAACAATTAGGTTTTGGTAGAAGACTGCTTTTATAAAAAAATATAGGATTTTCTGGAAAGAATTCTAATACTCTGTAAACTCAAATCGCCGTTATCTAGTGAGGTTATTTTGAAGTAAAACATGTATTTATACCAATGTCATTAAATACTTATGAACTCACCAGCATTAAAATGTTGATACTCTCTTTCAAAAATAACTTGTATTCTCAGGTCGTCAGTAGTCAGGTACACTCCGGAAGCGTTTGTGAAGACAACCTTGTACCGAGCTGCATTTTATGTTATTCTCTGTATTTACTTTTGATGTTGTTGCTAATTGTAACCTATGTAAAATTATTACTATTAATTCAATGGTTGTTGTACTTTGATTACTATACTGCATATGTTGTGATACTTGACATGACGTCCTCCACCCCAGAACGTTTCCGCCGTTCTGGTTTTGGGGTGTGACAGATGGAGTGGCAGAACGGATGAACCAAACACTCATGCAACGTGCAAGGTGCATGCATATATTTGCTAACTTATCCAAGCAATTTTGGGCGGAAGCAGGTAACACTGCTTACTATCTGGTGAACAGATCACCATCAACTGCTATTGACTTGAAGACTCCTCAATAGGTATGGTCTGGGAAACACTATGAATATTCTGGTTTATGTATATTTAGATGCCTTACATATGCTCATGTGAATGATGGTAAACTTGAGCCAAGGGCAATGAAGTGTATATTTGTAGGATATGCGATAGGAGTAAAAGGTTATCGACCGTGGTGTATAGAAGAAGGAAGAAATCCTAACTTTATCATGAGCAGAGATGTGACCTTTGATGAATCTTCCATGGGTAACCAAGGAGGAGGTGATACAAGTCAAGCAGGGAACAAAGATCAGGGTGCTAGCCAGAAGGTGGAGTTTGCAACTCAAACTGCAGATAGAGTTTTTATAAGTGAAAAAGAGCAAGGTGGTAGTGAATAGCCTGGACAATATGAAACCCAAGAACAACCCATGGGATCTTCATCCAATGGTGCTGATGCCAGGAAAGATGATGGGTTTGAATCTATAGCAAATAGAAGATCAAAGAGGGTTATTCGACAACCTGGTAGATATGTGGGATGTATGAATTCAGGTGAACTTGACTCCATTTCTTTGCTTTAGCAACTGGAGAAGATATTGACACTGAGGAGCCTCAATCGTATAAAGAGGTTGTGGCGAGTAAAGAAGCAAATAACTGGTTGATGGCCATGAATGAAGAAATGCAATCTTTAGAGAAAAGGGAGTAAATACAGAGAATAACATAAATACAGTGGGATACAAGTAGATGTTTAAGAAAAATGAAGGGATACCAGGAGTTGAACCGGCTAGGTTCAAGGCAAGGTTGGTGGCAAAAAGTTTCTCTCAGAAAGAATGAATTGATTATCACGAGGTGTTCTCACCGGTCGTGAAGTACAAGACAATTCAGGTTCTTTTGGCCATGGTGAGTGCATTTGATCTGGAGCTTGAACAGCTTGATGTGAAAACTGCATTTCTTCATGGAAATTTGGAAGAGAAGATTTATATATCACAGCCAGAAGAGTTCCATGATGCTAAGAAGGACCATGTATGTTTGCTGAAGAAATTCCTGTATGATTTGAAGCAGTCTCCAAGACAACGGTACAAGAGATTTGATTCATAAATGATCTCGAATGGCTACACTTGGAACCAATTTGACAATTGTGTTTACTCAAATGAATTGTCACCAGATTCCTACATATATCTATTGATATATGTTGATGATATGCTCATCGCAGCCAAATAATAAATGAGTTGAAGGCGAACCTGAAGAATGAGTTTGAGATCAAGGATTTGGGAGTAGCAAAGAAGATACTAGGGATGGAGATTCAAAGGGACAGAAAATCAGGGCGGTTATGTATTTCTTAACAAAAGTACATTAAGAAAGTTATGCAGTACTTCAATTGTGATCAGTCCAAGCCTGTTGGAACTTATTTGGTGGCTCACTCTAAACTTGGTCCAAGCACTATACCCACTACTAATGAAGAAAGGAAGTACATGAGCAGGGTTCCATACTCAAGTGCTGTTGGAGGTCTCATGTTTTCTATGGTATGTACCAAACCTGATTTGGTTCATATAGTTAGTTTGGTTAGCAGGTTTATGAGTAATCCAGGGAAGACTCATTTGAAAGCTATAAAGTGGATCTTACGATACTTGAGGGGAACGACGGATGTTTTCTTGGTGTACGAAGCAAATACAAAAAGTGACTTGGTGGGATATGCTGACTCTGATTATGGTGGTGTCTTATTGAAGCGCAGGTCACGGACGTGCTACATATTCACTTTATTTGGATGTGCCATCAGTTGGAAGTCAACGTTACAAGATACTGTTGCTTTGTCTACAAATGAATCCGAGTACATGTCCATGACAGAAGGAATAAAGGAGGAGATATGGTTGCAAGGGTTTATTCAGAGTCTTGGTCTGAACGTGGAGAAGCCTGTCTTGTATTGTGACAGTCAAAGTGCTTTAAGTCTTGCAAAGAACCCTATGTATCACAATAAGACGAAGCACATTGATGTCTGGCTGAATTTCATTCGGGATATTCTGGGAGGAGACAAGTTTTCAATACTGAAGATTGATAACAAGGTCAACCCAACATATATGTTGACAAAGTCGTTGCCCACGGAGAAGTTCATGCTTTGCTTGGACTTGGTTGATGTTCGCAGGAGATAGGTCCCTTCGGGGACGAATGGCAGGAAGGGGAGAGGAAGTTCTTGTTTGAGGTGGAGTTTAGAGGATGTTTAAGTCAAGGCGGAGATTTTTAAATGTGACTCGAGCATTTAGATCATCTTCATGGAGCATTTGGATCACTTGGACCTTAATGGAGCACTTAGGGTTCATGGAGCATGTGACAAAGGAACGGATCTTTTGAGGGAGGAATGGATCATCAGACAAAGGAATTGGTTAAGTGTCAAAGGAACGGATCATATACAAAGGGGTTTGGAGCAACTGGAAGAAGTTTGGAGCACTTGGAAGAGGTTTGGAGCACTTGGAAGGGATATGGAGCAACAAAGGGTCCTTGTTGCACCATTTAATAAATGGATGGGCCAAGAGGGATGCTCTTGCGCTATGGCACTCCCTCTTGCGCCAACTTGTTCTCCTCTTGCGCCATGATGCTTCTAGTTGCGTCATGCATGTACCTGTTGCTCCATGTTGATGTTTTTGCTCCAAGATTGATGTTTGTGCGCCATATTTCATGCTCTTGCGCCATTTATATCCCTCTTGCGCCATTCAGGGTTGTCGTTGCGCCATGAAGAAGCTATTGCACCATCATGGACCATCTTGGTACATGATGCGCCATATTGATTCCTTTGTTGTGCCATGTTGATTTAAGTATGCCTAGAAGATGATGATGCTCAAGAATGTACCCGAAGATGTTGCATGGCAGATTGTTATTGGTTGACACCTTTCATGGGCCCATGGGCCAATGGGCTTGGCCCTAGGGTTTTAGGTCTGATCCCTCAAGTATAAATGGGGATGCATGCTAGGTCATTTTCTATCTTGAATTCTAGAGTGATAGGCGAATCTCTGTGTAATTGTACTTGTAACCTCTGTTTAAGAGCTCTGAAATAAAAGAATACTTCCCTCCTGCCCGTGGACATAGGTCCCCTTGACCGAACCACGTAAATATCGTGTCTTGTGTGCTTATAATTTTGCTATTTATCCGTTTTACTTCCTAATATATATATATATATATATATATATATATATATATATATATATATATATATATATATATATATATATATATATAGACACACACACACAAACTTAAACGAATGTTCACGAACGTAAATGAATTAATAACACCAATGTTCATGTATGTTCGTTTAACTAAACGAACAAACAATTGTGTATATATTCGTTTATTTATTTAGTAAACGAACTTCTCATCGAATGGATCACGACCAGTTTGTTGAGCGTTTAATTCGTTTACGTCTCGTAGGACCCTGGTCCTTTAGAGGGAGTTGTTTATATTTTCGATGTGCGTTTTTTCTTCTATAAGTAAAAAAGCAATATTTATATTTTGATTAATTTATTTTTTCTAATAATAGGTTCGTTGGATTGGTTGCTAGTAATAGAGAAAAATTTAATTAAGTTGGGTTGTCATTTGTGAATGTAAAAGAAACATAAATTAATTTTTTTTAAAAGAGATGTTGAGTTGGTTTGGATTCTGTTAAATATAAGCTTACATGTCAAACCAGCCTATGAATGGCGGCTATCATCAATTTCAAGTTGTTCCATAAAATTGCTAATCTCCTTTCCTTTCGCACTCCACATAATCTTAATATATGCTAGTTAAACACATGCATGATCATATACATAAGGAAATATAGAATTTCTTGGACGAAATAGTGTCAAACTGAAACCACAATTACTTTTCTTTACTTTTCTTTATAATCCTGTAATGCTAAAGTACAAATAAAGTAGCAACATGAGACTATAATACAAACAATACAAAGGGATATACAAGTCACATATTTTAGTTAATTAGACATTCTAATATCAATAATTGGATAAAAACAAAGTAAAAAGAACAATCGACAAGACCAAGCTATATGACACCCCACTTGATCCTTAGAATGTCATTTTGTGGCTTGTCCTTGATACCTCTTGTCCCTTTTATCGCCTAATTAACCATAACCACCTACAAACAAAGATTTGCATGCATGCAAACAATATATGAAATGAAGTAACAACAATAATAGAAGGAACATTAAGACATGTATTTTTCAAGGTTGAGGATCAAAGGTTGCGGTAGGGCCAACTGAGTGGCCAACTCCGGGGCTATGTCCTGGAGTTGTAGGACGGAAGTCTCCCTCGTTTATGACTACAAAACCAGAATCTTGTCCATGGTTATGATTGTTTGTGGAGATAGTTGTCACTGTACTTGTTGCACCTTTGTTGCTCTTCAAGCTTACTGCTCTTCCTTCACTTGAAGTGAATAGGAATAATGTTAGTAGTAGTATTAGAAGTGCAAAAGATTTCATGTTTATTGTCTTGAAACTAGTCATGCCAATAATCATATTTATGTATATATAATAGAAGGCAACACGGGGAGATTGATGGGGATAGGTGTGAAGGTGGTGTATATTTCTTGCAAGTAAGATATGCTATTAATCACAGGTATATATATAGGCAAGGAGAATTGAACCAGTTAGCCTTTAGTGGGTTAATCAATTCACCTATGCAAATACAAACGACTTGGTGGACATTGTAGTCAACTTTACTAGCAATTCTTGTACATCAACAACATTATAATGCACATACATGTACCTACCCACATAAGTTCTCCCTTGTTCATTCATAGGCCTCGGTGCACAATCATATGTCATTCGTACAATATTCCTAAGGACATGTTATTAACGGGTTAATTTTTCATTACCAACTATCTAAAATTTCCGTTATTGAAGTAGACAAATCTACAACTATTTGATTTTTTTACGAACATTAATATCATTAAGATGTGAGTGTAAGACATGTGGAGTCTAAGATTATCTCTCCAAAATAACACTTACTGAGAGATGGTGACTCAGCTTCGACATATATAGACACTTAGGAAAATGTTGTACCGATATGTGATAAACTAAAACTCCTTAAAGACGGATGTTTGATGAGGATATACAAGGATGTGCCAAGGAACGGATTAAGATGTGCGTGTAAGACATGTGGAGTCTAAGATTATCTTTCCAAAATAACACTTACTGAGAGATTGTGACTCCGACATATATAGACACTTAGGAAAATGTTGTACCGATATGTGATAAACTAAAACTCCTCCTTAAAGACGGATGCTTGATGAGGATATATACAAGGATGGATGTGCCAATGAATGGAAGTGCTCTAATACCATATAAGATATATGTGGAGTACTTCACAATTATGTTCCCAAAAAAAAGCTCTTATATATGGAGAGAGTCGGAGATGATGACTCCAACATATATGTTAGAGAGACGAATTTTGCACCCTTGGACACATCTTTTGTCCATCTTCATCGAGCCTCCGTTTGTGACGGGTTGTTAATGTATCCAATGCGTCAAGATATAATCATAGATGTGTTTATGTAAGTTGGAGTCGCCTTATATTCATAATAAAGACTGTTTTAAAAAAACAATATTAGACTTCACATAGGTCTTCCATCGAGTAATATATGTGTATACATGCAATATGCCTCTTTATGGTAACAATGGATCTAGGATTTAATGGCAGTCGTAGATTCAATAATAGCTGTTTAAAGTGGCAGCATATCCTTTATCTAATGGTAGTGATTAATGTTTGAAAATGAATCCTAGAGTAACGGAGAATTGCCAAAATGCAAATGGGTCTAAGAGTCGATGACAAGTACCTGTTCACCATGTTATACGAAGTGGCACATACGGAAGCAATGAAATCTTTTATATCGTTGACTAAAGCTTATGGAAACTATTTCCAACAGAGAGAAGCACTACAAAATGCTCTTTCGATGATTGTAGTGTCTGCATCAATATTTGTACCACATGTAGAAACTCACAAGAATGATGTTGGTAAATTAGTTTGTTGGTGTACAGCAAAAGGAGGTCCTTTGTGATAAAGGCATGTTGCAATCGATAAGATCCCACGTTGTGGGATAGATATAAAATTTCATTCCAAGATCTAATATCTAATAATATAATATTCATACGTAATTATCAATTTCATTCCAAGATCTAATATCTAATAATATAATATTCATACATAATTATATGTTAATTGTTCGGATTAAAAAACAATAACAAATACTTTCAAAATCATGATATATAAAAATTTATCAATTTTTATAATAACTATTAAACTAAGTTACTATCTAATAATCTTAAAAATCGTCATAATTACCTAATCTAATTTTTAAATATCATATTTATATTTTATAAAATCTTAAAACTATAATATTTGATAAAATTATTTGTTTTTAATATGTTTAACATTTTAAATTCCTATTTTTATCGATTGACTATTACATGTTTATATAAAACACATTTTTTTAGTAGGGGCCGAATGTATATCAAATTATTAACCTTTTATTTTTTATGTATCACATCGTTACCATTTTTACCATAATTTACATTTCATTCTTCAAACCCCAATAAATGATCTTATTTCATTTTTTTTACAATTTATTTAATTTAATTTTAATAACTATAACTTCAAAAATAAATATAATTAATTAAAGATAATTAATAAACACAAAAACTAATTAAAGTAAAAATATTTTATTAGTTAAAAATAAAAATTACATAATAAAACTAAGAAAATATAATTAAAAATTACATAATAATAATAATAAAACATTATTATAAATTAAATCACTCTGAATCATTGTCTGAATCCTCTATCTAATCATCGATGAACATATATGAATCTTGATTTGATTAGTGAAACATATCATCGTGCCACTCCTCGACCTTGGACTGTATGTTAGCTGGAACGTCCCGATTTTCAATATATATATATTTTTTTTACTTTTATAAAACAACATTTCATTTATTTGTAGCAAATACCAATGTTTTACATTCAAAAGTCATTTATCTTATCTCAAAGTATATGCAGAAATATGTTGTGAGTGCATGTGTACAGTCGAGCTTCGCCCTTCTTATTATCTGATAGAGTACCTAAAAACATTTAATATCAACTCGGTAAGCACTAGGATTAATGAGTTCCTCAAAATATCATATCTCACAATATATATACAATGCATACACATAACGGCTTACGACCTCATTGTCGATCCACCAATAAAACATATAATGGCCTTCAGCATAAAGCTGGTCCGCCCCTTGCCTTCAGCATATAGCTGGTCCGCACTTCGACCTTTAGCATAATGCTAGTCCGCACGAGTCTATTGACCTTCAGAACAAAGCTTGGTCACCCTTAACTCCCCATATAATATATCCACACACACATACACACACACGCATATATATATATATATATATATATATATATATATATATATATATATATATATATATATATATATATATATATATATATATATAACAGATAAACAGTTCAACACGACATGTAACTAACTACAATAGTCTAGTGGCCTAATTGATTGCTACATGGCAATTATATACTCACATACAGAGGATATATACTGGAGCACATAATATAGTGAGAAAACTCACATTAACAATGACTCGAGAGATTGACAACTATCTGAGCGATTCTATTGACTATCCAACTGAAGGATAACGCGTCAAACGAGTATTAACATTAATACTTTAACCTAATAATCTATATGACAATCTAGTAATGAAAACTAGATCTTTTACTAATCCCAATGAATATTGAGAGTTCTATCAAATAAGGATCAACCAGAAAGGACAGTTGGGAGGCAGGACCATTTCGACGTATACCCTTTCTGAAAACCAACAACCAAGCCAAGATGCCCATTCTACACACCTCTCCAGTAAGTAGATCAATCAACATTATAACTGGAATTACTGATAAATCTTATTTATAGGTTCATAATAACAACTATGACTATAAATATAAGTTACACTAAAAGAGATATAAGTGTAGCTTAACTTACAGAGATTTGCCTAACAAAAGTCCGGAAATAGCACTGGCAGAACTCCGTCCTGCTAGCTACTAGATTTTAGGCTCTCAGTGGCCTCAGGGCTTCGCCAGGGACTCAAAACTAAGGGAAAATTGGGGCTAAGGTTGAGAGAAACTCGAGAGAGAAGTTTGGGAGGGTGTGGAGGTCGAATGGAGGGTTGAAGCTCTATTTATACCAAAAATATCTGAAAGCGCGTCGTGCACCCTGTCTGTGCAAGTCGTGCACTATGTCGGGTAGGTAACGTGGCTTCATGTAGACTTTGACACATGGCGGAAACCTAGTGGAGTCTTAGAGATCGTCGCGCCTCCTGTCGGCATGTGTCGTGCACACGCCTATTTTCAGTTTTTTCAAAAAAATCATATCTTCATACGAGCTCCATTTTCAACGTTCTTTATATCCACGCGTAGCTATTGACGAAGTCTACAACTTTCATTTAGACTCTATCGATTAATGCTCACTTTATTTTTAAATCTATATTTTTAACCGGCTTAGACTATTAAAGTCCGTATAAAAATCATAATTTATTGATACGAATTCCGTTCTCGACTGTCTTTATATCGACAGAATCATATCGACGAGATCTTTGACTCTCGTATAGATTGTTTTTGCTAACAATAAATTGATCTTGATTTCGGCTTCTGGGTCACATACTATTATGCTGAATGTAACGCCCGTGAGTTAGGCTAGACGTTAAAGGGATAATAATAATAATAAATATTCATTTTATTAAATAAATAAACTCCTTGAATAGGATAATTGTTCTTCGTACGCGTTATGTGTTATATAAAATACATCCAAGGGTGAACCCAAGTAGTGAAATAGTAATTTTAATGTTACACTCGTCTTTTGACGATAATTATTAGTTATATTTTACGACGTTAGTTATCAATTATTAAATTTAGATAGGTGAAATAAAATTATATCTATTATATATCTTGATAATATTTCGTATTCATAGCTAATACCGATTCAAAATTCATTAATATATAAATATATATGATATTTAAGCTGGATATGGTTTTTATGTTAAAAGGAAAACGTATATATATGACCATACCAATAATGATGAGACAAATTAGAATAGAATTTTGGGTGCTTTGATTCAATTTGAAAACCATACTTAATACATATAAAATAAAAATAAAAATGTAAGAAGTATGTGGTGTCAAATTTTGAAAGGTTTAGATGACAGTTAGAGGACACGTAGCAATGATAGTTTGACTAATATTGTAAAAAATAATAATAATAAAAAAATTAAAAAAAAAAAAGAAAAAAACTAATCAAATACGTGTTTTATACTATGGAGGCTTGAAGCTATGGAAATTTGAAAACATGTTGATCAATCATAAAAACAGTGGACGTGTTAATTAGGAGTGATACGTGTCAACATAAAGAGATGACAGGTGATTATGGTTTGCACATTAGGTATGAATAGTGATTTAAAAT